CCCCAAAACCCCAAAACCCCAAAACCCCAAAACCCCTTCACTCTACCTAATTTAAGTAAGTGAAAATAATTAATTAGACTTATGAAGCATGAAATTAATATTGTGCCTATATATGGATGATTCATTTACTAATAGAATCAGTCTTGTTGCTCGGCACTAGAACAAATTGAAAACTAATCAAAACTTAGATTTATTATTAATATCTAACTTTGATTTAAGATTTTAATACATAATAAAACTATATATCACTTTTAAAGTTAGGTCATTCTTTATCAATACTGTCTTTTCTATTGACTCATCATATTCATTAGTTAAGTTTCACAAACATCAACTTTAGCTCTTTCATTAGCTCATTAAGATAGTTCCTCTCACGCCTAACTTATTCCAGATCTCTAAGGGCTTCATTTTTCTATAGAGATGAGGTTTTCAATTTTTCTAATAACTCATTCATTTCTCTTGTTAGTAGCAAAACCCTCTTTTCTGCATTCGTCTTTTTACTTCTAAGATCAATCAATTCATTTTGTTATGTTTGAATCCTCGTATCAAACATTTTAATTTTGTCCTATTACTCTTTATTTGAATAGCTTTCATACTGGAGTTTAGACTGCAGCCAAGCATTCTCCGATTTTAGTTTATTTATTGCTTTTAGATGAATATCTTAAAATTCCTGATAATTCGTAAAAACAGGTATTAGAGTTTATGTCAGGTCAAAGAGATAATGAATATAGAAAAATAGCTGGCTATAACTCTATTGCATATCTTTGAATAGTTATGCTAATTGTCCTCTATTCTATACTAGGTGTTATATAACATCCATCAAGAACTAATGAACTTTCTCAGCTGATTTAAAGTTGAGACTTTGTGGTCCATTCGACTCATCATCCTCTTCCAATGAACCATCTGTTAGTTCTCTCTATAATGTATTTCTAGTTTCCTCGAAAGTTGATTTTAGATGTTTGAATAATCTATATATTATTAAATGGATCTCTATCTTACCCTTTTAAAGTAAGTTAGTCTGACTACTAATCATCATCTTCATCATCAAAATAGTCCAAGGGCAGATACTAAGCATAGAAAGTCATCATCTCATTCGCTTTGTCAAGTACATGCTGGCAGTTAGAAATCATAGTCGTATTTATTTAAGCTTTATAAACTTCAAGTTACGAAATCTACTTTACAGAATCTTTGCATGATTTACAAAACTATATCTCCTCTTACATCTTTAGAGGAGTCTGAGCACGAGGAGTCAGCTCATAATTTGCTTGGTTCATAGACAAAGATAGTCTTACTAAATCCATAATAATCTCGCGACTAGTTTTGTTAATGGAGGATTTTTTAATTGATGTAAGTGAGAGATAACTTTTTATATCAAGTAAGCTATACAAAAGATTGTTAACTTGAGACTGTTAAATTATTGTGTTCAATGTGTAAGTGTCTTACTCATTATTCCCTTATCTAGGAATAGTCATTACTAAATTTGTATTGGACTTTTTATTTAATTCGATTTTGGCTTTGGTAAGTTTTTCCTTTATCATAAAATTATCTATCTTTAATTACTTTAATAATGCACTTTTTTCTTATAAATCCCTAAGAATAATTATTGCCTCATGATTTTGCATCTGTTCTAATTCATTTATAGTTCTTCTCAATGAAAACACCTTATTTTTATAGCTCTCTATTGTATCTGTTTACTTTTTTACTTATTCGAGCAGTCTTAAAGTGCCCGACTTCAATTGGTCCATATCCATTTGTAACACTTCATTTTCTCTTTATAGTCTTTAATTTTGAAGTTTTAGTGAATGATTCTCATCATTAAGATATTTAATCATATTTTAGCTGCTTTCATATTCTCTCACAGCCATCTTAGCGATATCCCCCTCGATAAACTTTAATATTCCTTTGTTTCCTCTAATTATCTGGTCTTTTATCTCATTTTCTTTAAATAAGATTTTAGCTTGTCTCATCGCAGATACTGTCTCATGAATAACAGCTAATTGATTTGAGCTTTCTGAATTACCTCTATCCTTGGCAAGTTCTTCGAATACCTCAATTGATATCTCACTTTTTTTCTTCTCCAGCTCTAATAATTGCATAGATTAATCAAATCTTTCTTAAAATTCTTTATCGTACAATTTAACCTTCGATTATTAATTTAATTACTGCAGCTTGCTAACCCCACTTTGCAATTCAGGTCTCAAAACTTTTACCGATGGTAATTCCTCTTAATGAGGCTCTTCCTTAATTACAGGCAATGGCTCATTTTTAGGAAGTGCAGAGGGTACTTAGGAAAGCTTCTTTGACTTTTTTATAAATGCCTATTTGAATTTTTCCATTCTTACTAAAAATCAATTGATTAAATAATAATTTCCAAAAAATTATTAAATTTATTTTTAATAAAATGTTTAACCTCTACAAGTTCGAAACATCTCTGATACATGAGAAGATGGATGATCTCTCTAAAACTCAAAGATAGATTGACCAAAAAAATAGTAATTTACTCTCCACATTATAATGTTTTCCTCAATAGAGCAAAGAGATGAAATGTCCAAAAAGTATAGAGATAGAGTAGCAGAATTCATCAAAGATGTAAAAATCCTATAATTTATAACTTAATTTCGACTATAGATGGCTAAAAATCCAATATCAGTTAAAGATTATTATAATAGATAACCAACTCCTGATAAGCTGTAAAAGAATGTATTCAGATACACTCATAATTCATCACAAAAAGAAAGAGTTATGGTAAGTTGCATTATCAGAAATTTCATTACTTATAATTCTACATTTATACTGATCATCTAATAATAGGAGCAATCATAAAACTATTCTTACTTTGAGTCAGAGCCATTAGACCTATACAAAAAAGGATTTTTACTTAGACAAAGAGAGCCTGAAAAGGAACTAGGACAGTCTTTCATGAAATTTAAACCATCAACAACTGTTGAAAGAGTTTTTGATTCAGTAAATAAATCAGTGGTAAGTACAGCTAGAGAACTCACTATGAAGTTTCACTCTTAAAACAACTCTCCAGTTCGTGACGCTAGTAGATTCTTCCAACAGAAGAACATCAAGGTTTCACCAAAGGCAATTCTACTCCCAGAGTTGCATCATAGAACACATTTCAAAGCTGCGACATCAATACTTATGTAGCATCAAGGCACACTTCACCTAGATAACGAGGAACTAAATAGATAATTCCTTGCCAATTCTAAATAAGATGATTATATGATGGTAACTCAGACAAACGATAGTATGAAAAGAGCATAGAGAAATATTAATAGACACTCAAGCATTGATAACAGCCTCACTTAAAATTCATAAGATTACATTAAGAATATTCTTCTGGATTGTAAGGTACTAAGAGAAAAGAATGGAAATGTCGCTCACCAAAAACCCTTTAGAGTTTCATAAATGGACACTTCTTATTATTAACAGAGTTAAATAGAAAAAGAAAAGGACCCTCTTAATATGATGGACAATTGATTCCTGATGGAGTGGGTGCTTATCAAGTGGTTTATCTGAGCTATTATCTTAAGTCTATTTTTATTGAATAATAACTAGTCCTACAATTCTGATATTTTATTGCTACGGGGTTTTGGGGTTTTGGGGTTTTGGGGTTTTGGGGTTTTGGGG